TTGCCTACAAAACCACCACTGGCTCTGCACCCCTTTACCTAAATTCATTACTTCAGAATTATGTGCCTCTAGAAGCTTGCGTTCTGCAAGTGAACGCCGCATTATAGTGCCATCCCAAAGAGGCACAACATCACTTTCAAGGACTTTTAACTGTTCCTCCTGGTGGAATGACCTGCCCAACTCGATACCAGCAGCTGAGTCCTTAGCCATCTTCAAGAATCGGCTAAAAACACATCGCTTCCATCTTTATTTGACCCTCTAACTCTAGCACTCTCTATTCTAATTCTATTCTTAGGCACAGGCTACGTATTGAACATGTCAAAGAAATGAAACCAAACATCTGGTAAACGCTGTTACTTTGCTTACATGATGGAATATCATACATCTCACTAGTTATTTGTTCTTATTTCTCCATTCTGTAGGCCCACTTCAAACAGCGCCCTGTCTGTGGCCTTCTGCAGTTTATATGAGAGCCATGCATTCTGTCCAGAGTCCACATCAACAGCCACCACTTTAGTCACCAGACTGGGTAGATAGATAGATAGATAGATAGATAGATAGACACCAGCAAGTCATATTCATACCCATTCACACCAGCTCACCGGATCAAAAGAATCCTCATTATTCAGCTGTCCTCTTTGCGCATGTGTGAGTGTTTGTGTTCCGCTGCTGTCCAGACTAATGATGCTCTCACTGCAAGGTCTGCCGTATTTCAGATCACTCTTTCTGGAGTCAGTGGTTCTGCAAACCTCATAATTGTTTGAAATCTTTGATCTGCTCGTAATCGAAAGATCGTGCTACATGTATGACTCCACTATCAGCACTAACGGACATTAAAGAGGAGACCGGCACTCCATTAACCGACGAGTCCTCCAGTATGTAAGACACACGGGCATTCTGGTTAAAATCTGCGTCGCTGGCTCTGATTGTGAATATGGAAAGACCCGGTGTGTTGTTTTCTTGAACAGAGGCCTCATATGAGCTCTTGTCAAAGACAGGCGCGTTATCATTCACATCTGATATCTGCAAGGAGAGAGTGACGCTGCTGGAGAGAGAGGGCACGCCCTCATCAGCGCACGTCACACTGATGTTATAATCAGACACGCGCTCTCGGTCTAAATCACTGTCTGTCACAATACTATAAAATCCATTAGAAGTTGATTTGATTGTAAAAGGAATTTTTTCATTTGCACTGCAATAAACCTGTCCGTTACTGTTAGAATCCGGATCGTTAACACTGATCATGGCAATCACAGTACTCTGTGGCGAGTCCTCAGGTATTGCATTAGATTTGGACATAACTGTGATGACAGGCGCGTTATCATTTATATCAATCACGTCGACCATTATTTTACTAGAATCAGACAGCCCACCATTATCTACTGCTTCTATATCAATTTGGTAATGTTTAGATATTTCAAAGTCGATTTTTCCGACTAACGTCACCAATCCATTTTCATCAATATGAAAAATGTCAGATTCACCGTCACTGTTTGCAATTAAATAACTGACTTCTCCATTTGTCCCTTTATCTGAATCAGAAGCGCTGACAGTGATGAGTGGCGTGCCACTCTGGGAGTTTTCTGTAATTATCGCTCTATATATAGGCTTAGTAAAAACTGGAGCATTATCGTTTGCATCAAGCACTGTAATATGAATCTGAACTGTTCCTGATTTCGGTGGTTCTCCACCATCTACTGCGGTTAATATCAGAGTCATATTTTCCTGTTTTTCTCTGTCTAAAGGTTTTTGTAGAATCATTTCAACCTTTTTACTTCCATCACTCTGACCATGGAGTTTTAAATTAAAATGATCAGTAGGTTGTAGCAAATAGCTTTGTAGGTCATTTGCGCCAATGTCTGCATCTATCGCTTTCTCCAGCATGAATTTTGAACCAACAACTGCTGATTCGCTTATCTCAAATCGTCTTTCATCTCTTTTAAAAATGGGAGAATTGTCATTTATGTCTGCAATTTCAACAGTTACCCTAAACAGTTCCATAGGATTATCGAGAATAATCTGTAAATGTAGCGCGCAAGGCGTTGTCTGTCCGCATAGCGCCTCTCTGTCTATTCTCTCTTTGATAAGGAGGACTCCCCTTTCTTTATTCAGCTCGATGTATTCAGCGCTGTCTCCTGTATAAATACGCGCTTTACCCGATTTCAGTCTCTTTAAATCTAAACCTAAATCCTGCGCTATGTTCCCGACTAAAGAACCTTTCGCCATTTCCTCGGGAATGGAGTAACTGACCTGCCCGAGAGCCGAACTGAGAGAGAGAAACCAAATAAACAGCAGTACTTGCCGCGCCATTGTTCTGTCCGACATTTTGCTCAAGACCAAATAAACGAAGCCACGGTGTGTGTATCCAATTCAGAGTCTCAATGTGTCCCGGATCCAAATAAAAGAAATCCAAAACTAATGGAGATTTAAGACAACGTCTAAACATGGATCCATAGCTGACTATTTATTACAGCATCCATGTCCTCCGTGTTATGTCCCTGCATGTGCATTATGCAGACGCCTCAGTCTCCTCCCTCTTAAGTGCAGAGGGCGGTATTACTGGAATTATCCGCTCTCAATCGCATCCCCCTAGCAAACAGCGGCACTCTGAGACCATTCTGAGTTACTGCAAAAATAGATCTAAATTATATATAAAATGCACATACTCAAAAGATATATACGCAAAGAGACAGAATAATAATAATAAAAAAAAACACAAAATCAATACCTGAATTTCTATTTGTGTAAAATAATGAAAATATCTAAAGTAGCCAAAATATGAAATTGTAACGAAATCTGTTCAACACTCACAAAGTGTTGGTTTGAGAATGATTAAAAAGTCCTGTATTTAATCAAACGGACACAATTACCTATTACCATACACAAGCAATGCGAATTCAACAATGCAATACAATTTACACAATACATGACGCCAACATATTACTAATACATAGTCTTTGATATGTCACTGCACCCA